GGCCAGCTAGGCCTACCTAGGCCGACGGAGAGGGAAGGGACGGTGAGATCCGTCGCCTATCAACGCTCCGTTGGGCCCCTCCCCTGCAACATGGACCTACGCATGTGATATCAGGAACACCCAAGAAAGAGTCAGCCAACACACTGTTTTTGATCTGCGGGGCGAGAGCGAACCTCTTCCGCTAAAAGCTGGGCGGGCTACGCACAGCTTTCATTAGGGAGACAGGGCCCAGGAAGGCGGGGCCTCGGGCGGCCGAAGCGGGCGGGGCCCGGGGAGCGGGCGGTGCCGCAAGGGGGGGTCAGCCAACACACTGCTCGGCTATGATCCGCTGGCCCCCTTGTGGGGCCACCAGGCTGTAGGTTGAGGGTTTGCTGTTCCCTGCGCCAGATCCAGTTTCCAGTTTCCACTGCTACAATATTGCTACAAGATTGCTTCACGCTGCTTGCTGTTCCTTGTTGTAGACCGCGCGAGGGGGGGGGGCCGAAAAACGTCCTGATTACCACGCCCGAGTCGCGTGCTCTGACTTTTGGGGGGGCGTGGGACTCGTAAAAATACTTGAAACTCGCGCCTCCGAAACCATAAATGCGCAAGATCCGCGTCCCTGAGGCCAGAAACCTTCGAAGCCATAAACCATCGCAAAATACGCTATAGTCGCGCCCCCGAAGACATTAACCTTTGTAAAGTTCGCAATACTTGCGTCCCCGAGGCAGCAGACGCTTGCAAATCACTTAATATTCGCGTTCCCGACGCCATACACCCTCGTAAATTACTGTACCCGCGCATCCGAACACATAAATCCGAATAAACTACAATATGTGCGTTCCCGATGTAATGAACCATTGAAAATCACTTACTATTCGCGTATCCGGAGCCATCAGCCCTGGTAAATTGTGCAATATTCGCGTCTCCGAAACCATAAACCTGCGTGAATGATGCAACATCTGCGACCCCAAAGCCATAAACCATCGTACAGTACACAAGAATCGCTTGTCCGAAGCCAGAAACCTTTGTAAAGTACTTGATATTCGCGTCACCGAAACCATAAACCTGCGTACATCTCCATATATTTGCGACCCCGAAAATATACACCCTCGTGAATGAAACTATTCGCGTATCCGACGCCATAAACCATAGCAAATTACACGATATTCGCGTCTCCGAACATGTCAATACTTCTTAGGAAAGCTTTTTGCACACCATACGCGAGCAAACTCGAAATACAACACCGAATTCAACAGTATCATCATAATCTCAATTTGTCTTGCCGAATACTCATCGTCTTCGCGTGAAGTCCCGACGCTGCTTCACGGCGGCGCCAAGGCCTCATCGTTTCGCTCTCGCATTGCCCATTATCCGAGAGAGGGGGCCGGCGGCAGGGGGCGAAGCCCTTACGGATATACACTCAGGACTCGTATCTTACGGCACAAGCTGAGCAGCAACCAAGATCACGCGTGATCCAGAGGTCGTGTGGTGTGCGCGCCGCACAAACACCGAGAGGAGAGCTCCCGCAAGGCCTTGACAAAGCCCACAGCTTGTGTGTTTGCTTTTTCCTAACGCAAACATCGCAGTACCATTTCCCCCCCCTTCCTAGCGCAATGCCCACGAAGATCAAGTCCTTACCCTCTCGGGAGAGCCTCGGGAACAGGGGTGGGGTCGGGGTGAGGAGGAGGAGGAGGAGGAGGAGGAGGAGGAGGAGGAGGAGGAGGGAGTAGGAGAAGGAGGGGATGAGGAGGAACTGGCGACGCCACCTCTCGTCACGCCCCATCGTGCCAGGAGGCGCGACGCGAGGCGCCGCCCGGAGACTCCATGGAGCTGCGACTCCCGCACCCGCGGCTTTGGCGGGCGGATGGGGTGCTCGGGGGGGTGCAGACTGCACACGCGGGCTCCTTGGGAGGTTCAGGGGGCCTGGCACTTACACCAATCTTGGCGGTTGCCTCCACCGAGGGAAGGTGGTCCCGATCTCGGCGCTGGCAGCAACACTCGGGCTCCTTGAGTGGCCGAGGGGTTACCACCAGCACCAGCCTCTAGGATCTTCCTCTGGTGGAAACACCTCCCTGCCTTGGCGTTGGTGCCTACCTCCAGACCTCCGATTCCTGCCGTGACATGCGGGCTTCCCGAAGGAATGATGCCGCTCCCTCTCCGAGGACCCTCACTGGTCGATGCAGGCCAGGAAATGCCGCGTTTAGACTGGGTCGGTAGCTCTGGTCGTGACTTTTGGAACACGTTGTGATTTGTCCACGGCATCGGATGCTGGATCTGGATTAACACTTAGAACGTGCCATGCGGAAGCTATTCGCTTGACACTTGTTCGAGTCAGCGGGCGAAGAGATGCGGAAACGATCAAGCGCTGGTCGGGCTAAAGGCGGGGCGCGCCGAAGCAAATTTCGTGCGCTCCACACACATGCGGAAGGTCAACGGTCTTCGTCACGACAAAGCCGACTGCCGAACAGACGTACTGCCGCAAGTGTGTATCCAGCCTTCGCCCAGCCATCGCCGCATGCAAATGCGACAAGAACATCACAGCCGTAAGCCCACGGCAACCCATCGTGGACCCCAGCCACTTCCTCCTCCTCCTCCTCCTCCTCTTCCTATTTCTCCTCCTATTCCTCCTCCTCTTCCTCCTCCTCCTCCTCCTTCTCCTCCTCCTCCTCCTCCTCCTCGTTCTTCTCCTCCGCCTCCTCCTCCGCCTCCTCCTCCTCGTTGTCATCGTCTTCCTTGTCCTCGTCCCCGCCCTCCTATCCTCGGCCTGACCTTCACCTTCAGCCTCAGCCTCAGCCTCAGCCTCAGCCTCAGCCTCGTCGTCGTCGTCGTCGGTGTCGTCGTCGGTGCCCTCGGAGCAGCAGAAGCGCTCCCCGCGCCCGGGCCAGGACTCGACCGCACACTCCCTCGGGCAGGCCGGGGCAGCCTGGCAGCCCCTCTCCTGGGGGAGCCTTTTCTGGGCCCCCCTGGTGACCCGCTCTCCTGGAAATTGTCCACGCCTCCTCCTCCTCCTCCTCCTCCTCCTCCTCCTCCTCCTCCTCCTCCGTCTCCTCCTCCTCCTCCTCCTCCTCCTCCTCCGTCTCCTCCTCCTCCTCCTCCTCCTCCTCCTCCTCCTCCGTCTCCTCCTCCTCCTCCTCCTTCTCCTCCTCCTTCTCCTTCTCTTCCTCCTCCTCCTCCTCCTCCTCCTCCTCCTCCGCCCCATCGAGGGGCTTCCTGGAAACTGTCCACGCCTCCTGGGGCCTCCTGGGGCCCCTCCTCGAGAAGCCGGGGCGCGCGGACGGAAGAGGTGCGGTCCGTGCCAGTCAGAGCTCGCCAATCCGACAATCGCATGGACTTCACACGCAAACTCACAGGCATTTGGGCGTGGCTTAATGGGGGGGTCACAAACGGGGGGGTCAGAAAAGGTCCACTTTCGTCCCCCTTTCGGGCCCCTCCAGAGCCCCAGGGGGCTCGTTTAGGTACCATTTGGGTACCTTTTCGGACCACACTCGCCGCCCCCCCATTTACGATCCCCCCATTACGCAGCGCCCAAGGCATGTGAACTCCTACCCTGGCCGGTTCTTACACGCATATCATTTGAATGCATTCGCTTGGAATGCGTATGGTCTTGGGGAACTCGAGCTCGTTTGACTCTCCGGACTTATACGCAAGCTTCCGTGCCATCACTGGCCCACCACACACACACACACACACACACTGCAGGCCCCCTCCGTCGAGAGGCTCCTGTCGCTGCTGCGCTGCTGGGAATGGCCCCGTCCATCCCCGCAGGTCCATTGGGCCGCACACTGACATCATTTAGCCCGCATCGGTCGCCAGAGCTACTGGCCGCCCCTATGCCCTGCCGACACGGCTTGGACCTCTCAAACGTTCGCGGGCCCAGTCGCAATCGGGCCGACAGTCCAGACCAACATCTATCGTAGTGGGCGAAGCTTGGACCCCCGATTTCCTCTGGTCTGACTGGCTGCCCCATGGCGATTTGACTAGCAACGATGGGTCGGTCCAGCGGCGGCGGGGTGCGAGAGGGAAATCGGGGCAGATAGAACGAGGGCGAGTATATCAGAGTCGGGCGAGGACGAAATGTAGAATGGCAATACTTGATCGAACATCGGCGCTCATGCCGATCAGGTCGGCGCCTGCTTCTTGTTGTTCTCGATGTGCCAGCGCCATTGGTGGCAGTCCATCAGTGAATCAAGATATTGCTGCTCTGCTCGACGCTGTCCAGATCGGCCGCGATGCTGTTGCTCGCGACCAAGGCGCCCCAGAGCTGCTCGCCGCACGTGTTCGTGAGCTTCGCGAAGTCCGTCAAGATCGCGCGCCCGAGAAAGCGCGGTTCCTCCGCAGTGTTGCCCAGCAGCTTGTCCATCCTCTCGATCAAACACGTACATATTCCAGGTCATTGCTCGCCCACTTCCACCCTGGCAAGCGCGCAGTAATGCGCCTGAGCCCCGAAGCACTCGCACGGTCGCTTCAGACGGATGTGGAAGCGGGCGGCGGCAAGGCAGCTCCTCTAGAGGGCTCCCAAAGGGGGCCCGAGTAGATGGGGCTGGAGGATCGCGCCACAGCGCCGATGCATGGGCGACGTCGGCGCGGAGAAACTCGGGCCCCCACATCGAGCCGTATCGCCGATGCACCGGCGATGCGGCGCGATCCTCCATCTACTCTCGGGGAGACGTAAGACTCGGGTTCGGGAGACTCGGATTGGCCTGACGGGGCCATCACGAAAATGACGAGACCACTCTGAACTTTGACACGAGCTTCCGCTGCAGTGACAGCCCACGAAACAACTGGACCGTCAAAACCCAGGACGCGCCCGTTCAAAAGGCGTCGGCAGACCCGAGCTCTGGCGCTCTCGAGTCCTGAGTTCCCCCGATATATTCGGACCCCATCTCGGAGGCCTAGATTTAGGTCGGGCGTGTCCTCCTACAGGCGAATCCCGGAAGAACATCAAACAGTAGCACAGAAATATGCAAAAACCGTGAAGAGTAGTCGACAAATAGTCCCTGGACAATTCTTGTTGGATTATTTTTGAATACTCCTCCTGTAGAGGGACATGCCCGACACAAGTTAAGCCTAGATCCTCAGCGCGAGACCGCCGCTCAGGCGAGGACGCAGGGGGCGCAGGAGCCCAGCAGCGGGGCCGACCGGAGCTCGCCGTGCTCGTACGCGCACGGCGCGCGGCTGCCGTTCGCGAGGAAACGCGTGCCCCGGCCGTGCTGCCTGTCGTCCGCGAACTGCCCCTCGTACGAGCCGCCGTCCATGAAGGTGTGCGTGCCCCGGCCATGCCTACAGTCGGGCTGCTGAAATGAGGAGCGCTAACGAAGGAACGAAACCCCTCTGCGGCTTCAAAAGAGCCTGGGTGCACGAGGAGGGATGGAGGAACAAGCACGGAAGGACGTAAGGATCGTCGAGCCCCTTCCGAATCCAAACTGTTCCTTGTTTCAGCGTCTTGGCCGTAGGGATCGAGCAGAGAATCCACCCTCACAAGAGGAACCTCGACGAGCGAGCCCCCTTGTCAGCAAACCCACTCCAGGAAGGAAGGGACCAAGGAAGGGCTGTGTAAGAAAAAACGCTCAGGGGCGCTTGGCAAACGCCAACGATCCGGGTCGCGGTGGTCTTTCCTCCCTGGAGTGCCTCGCGAGCGGCGACCACACCGTGCGTGCATGCGTGTGCTGCAGGTTCGTGCCGTGCCGACCTGGGCGCTGGTTCCCGACCCCGCGAGGACACGTCGACCTCGAACAAGCAGCCGTGTCTCAAACGTCCGAGCTGCGAGGCGGGGGTTTCTCCATATCCACCGCCTGGGAACCGACGCCCTGGTGCCCCAGCGGGCGGTGGAGACGGATATGTTGTGGCCCCAGGGGGCCCGAACATATCCATATCCACCGCCTGTGGAGGTCCGCGAAGATCGATCCCCCAGGCGGTGGTCATGGATAAATCCCCGTCTCGGACGATCGTTCAACATCGACCGCTTCTGGGTCGCCAGCGGCGCTCAACGTTGAACGCTGGCGGCGGGGTCGCCGCTGGTCGACACGACGCGAATCTACCGTACATGTGCTTTTGCGGCGGAGTGCCCCTTGGCAAGAGTGGCCATGGGGCAAGAGTGACCTCTGGTGCGCGGCTTTCGGGGGCCTTGGGGAGGCCAAATCCATGCGCGCAGGCAAGTGCCGAGGGGAAGCCTGCGGGCCCGCACCACAAGATCACTCCAGTGAAAGGTCGCTCCTACGCGTAGCCGAACACACTCGTATCCGCGCCCTCGTGGTCTGGATTCCAGGGCACGGTCCCGCCGATACGCGGTCGCGTGGGTGCGCTCGGCGCGGGGCATCCGCGAAGAGACGCCCCCGTATGCGCGGGGTCGCGGCCCAGGGCCTCAGCCCGCGAGGCCGCGGAGATCCACGTGCGTTTTTCGCCCCGGCCGTGCCGCTTGCCCCACCTCCACTGCCCGTCGTACGAGGCGCCGCTCGGAAAGATGAAGGCGCCTTGGCCGTGCTTCTGGTGGTCCGCCCACTGCCCCGCGTACGAGCCGCCGTCCGGGTAGCTGCACGAGCCCTGGCCGTGCATCCGGCCATCCGCCCACTGCCCCTCGTAACGAGTGCCGTCCGAGAGGCTCAGCGTGCCCTGGCCGTGCTTCGCGTCCTCCGCCCACGCTCCCTCGTACGCGCTGCCGTCTGGGAGGCTCAGGGTGCCACGGCCGTGCTGCATGTCCTCTGCCCACTCCCCCTCGTAGCAGCCGCCGTCCGGGTTGGTGAAAGTGCCCCGACCGTGCCTTTTGTCCTCCGCCCACTCCCCGTCGTACGAGCCGCCGTCCGGGTAGCTGAATGCGCCGCGGCCGTGCTTCAGGTCCTCCGCCCACTCTCCGTCGTACGAGCCGCCGTCGGCGGCGCCGCGCTCGAAATCGCCGGGCACCAGAAAACTCAGCGTGCCCTGGCCGTGCCTCTTGCCCCCCCGCCACTCCCCGTCGTACGACCCACAGGCGCCCGGGTAGGTGTACGTCCCCTCGCCGTGCTGCTTGCCCCCGGCAAACTCCCCATCGTACGAGGCGCCGTCCAGAAAGCTCAGTATGCCCTGGCCGTGCTTCACGTCCTCTGCCCACTCCCCGTCGTAGGACGTGCCGTCGGGGTAGCTGTACGTGCCCCGGCCGTGGCGCTTGCCCTCCGACCACTGCCCGCCGTACGAGGCGCCGCTCGGGTAGCTGTCCGTGCCCTGGCCGTGCTTCTTGTCCTCCCTCCACTCCCCGTCGTACGAGGCGCCGTCCGGGGAGCGGAACGTGCCCCGGCCGTGCCGCTTGCCCTTCGCAAACTCCCCCATGTACGAGACGCCGCGGCCGCCGGCGCCCTGGCCGTGCTTCACGGTCTCCACCCTTTCCCTGTCCGTGCCCCGGCCGTGCTTCTCGTCCTCCGCCCACTCCCCGACGTAAGAGCGGCCGTCCGGATAGCTGAACGTGCCCTGGCCATGCCGCTTGCCCCCCACGAACTCCCCTTCGTACGAGCCGCCATCCGGGTAGCTGTACTTGCCCCGACCGTGTCTGTTGCCGTCCTCGAACTCCCCATCGTACGAGCAGCCGTCCGTGTAGCCGTACTTGCCACGGCCGTGCCTCTTGCCTCTCGCAAACTCCCCGACGTACGAGCTGCCGTCCGCATAGCTGTAGTTGCCCCGACCGTGTTTCTTGCCCTTCGCCCACTCCCCGTCGTACGAGCCGCCATCCGAATAGCCGTGAGTGCCGCGGCCGTGCCTCTGGGGAAACTACAGGTATTGATATCGCTACTCTCCGAATCTCTCCCAGGGGTGCGCTCTGACCAGAACTTCGAGGCGAGCCCAGCGGTGGCGACGAGGGCCTCCCAGGAGACGCCAGCAGGCGAAGCCGAGGCAAGAGCAGTGGCACCCATCGATCGGAAGAGCTGGGCAGAAGCAGGAAGTGGGCAGGCGCCCACAACAGATGGAGCCATGGGGATCCGAGGGAGGGAGGAGGAGGAGGAGGAGGAGGAGGAGGAGGAAGGAGGGAGGAGGAGGAGGGAGGAGGAGGAGGAGGGAGAAGGAGGAGGGAGGAGGAGGAGGAGGAGGCGGAGGAAGGAGGGAGGAGTGAAGGGAGGTAGGATGGGGCAGGACGGGCGGAATCGTTACCCTTCCCCCCTCTGATCCCTTAACCGTCGTGGGAAAGGTGATCCGTGGTGGCAATCGCAGTCGCGCCAGAAAAAAAAAAAAGTTTGAAAAAAAAACAAGAGATAGAAAAAAAAGGAAACAAAAAAAAAAAAAAACGAAAGCAGAGAAAAAAAAAAAAAAAAAGATAAAAAGAAAAAAAAAGCAAAAAAAGAAAGAAAAACAGAAACAAAGAAAGAAAAATGACAATAAAAAAAAAAGGATGGGTGGGAGAAAAAAAAAAAAAAAAAATGCAAAAAGAAAAAAAAAAAAAAGAAAAAGAAAAAGAAAAAAATAAAGAAAAACCAAAAGCTGCGTAGCCCACGCCGTTGGAGACAGTCGGCTGCGCGGTGGCGCCGTCCCGCCCGCGGCCACCGATGTTATACCTCACGCCCACGCCCCAGTGATCCGTCCACCGTGCCCCTCCCCTCTGGCACGTTGAGGAGTGGCAGAGTGACCTTTCGCCAGAGTGTGGTGCGGCGAACACTGGGCTCCCCAGGTCCTGTGGCTGAAAGAGGTGCGACGGCAGCGGCTTGCGCGCTCTGGTTTGCCCCCCCCCCACCCACCCACCCGCGGCCCCCCTCTGCCACGTCGAGGAGTGATAGTCTCCAAGCGCGGTCTGGTAGGGGTTCCAAGAACCGACCACAACGATGTTTCACAAGGAATGGCGTTGAAGACGAAAACCAAGCATAACCCAACGTTTGAAACACACGATCAAAACAATGCAGTGCCAAACGAAACAAACAACGAAACGAAGCGTTTAAATTCGAAACCAACAACGAAACGGCACGACAACGAAAAAGGCGACGAACAACAAAATCAAGGCCCAAACCAAGCCAAACAACGTTGTGGTCGGTCCTTGAAGGTTTCTGTCATCTTCTACGGGACGCCCCCCCCCCTTCTCGCAGCAGACTTCCGCATGCATCGCCCTCCCTCCCAAGGCCACGATCATTTGCAAGAAACAATGACGCCTCGCACAAAACAGTGGATCCGCGCTCTCAAAATCACGCTTCCTTACAGAAGCCATGCGCCAGCCCTATGCCCGGCGCATCCTGAAACCTGCCGACCCCTTGGGGTCACGGCGTGTGAGATGCTTCCCCCTCCCCAAACCCCTCCGCCGGGAGCCCGGTCTGGCCGGTTTGGAGGGGGGGGGGCGTGGGGGGCAAAGGTGTCAGCCGCACCCTTGGAGCCTCAAGGGGCCCAAAACGGGCCAAGAGGGACCCAGAAGGCCCCCCAGACGGTCCGAGAGGGCTACGAGTCGCCGAAAGATCGCTCCAAGACACCCAAGATCGCCTCCAGACGGTCCCAGAGGCCCCCAAGACGCCCCAAGAAGCCACTAAGAGGCGTCCCAAGAGGCCCTCCAGAAGCAAAAGTCGTCCCATTCCCTATGGGGAACGTATATTTTTAGCACATTCGCCTCTTGGGCTTTCACGAGGCCCACAACGGCCCAAGAAGCCTTTAAGATCGACCCAAGATAGCCCAAGAGGCCCCCAAGAGGGCTCTAAGACGGCCCAAGAGGGCCCCAAGACGGCCCCAGAAGCTTCCAAAACGACCCAGGAGGGCCCAAGGACGGCCCCAAGAGGAGGCCCAGAAGGGGGAACCCGAATAAACATTTCGAGCACTCGGCCCCGAAAAAATCGGAGGAGGCGCCAATAGGCCCCGAAGAGGCTCCCACGAGGCCCCCGAGAGGCCCAAAAGAGGCTTCTAGAGGCCTCAAAACGGCTCCCAAGATGCCTCAAAAGTGCTGCCAGGAAAGCCCGGAGAAGCCCAAAAGCAGAGCAGCGATCCGCCAACCGCCCCCGACGAAATCCCAAGAAGCTGAAACCCCAAAATTCCCCAAAAATCGTTCCGCAAACTCGGTTTTTACTTTTACTGCCGCCCTGAGAGTTCGGCGGTGCGGCGTCAGCCAATGAATCCGTGGGCCCGTGCTCCCGAGGCCCAAATCCCTACCAAAAACTATTAGCCAGGTGGACCCCGCACAGTGATATCTTGCCACGTATGCGGTGCAATCTGGGTGATGCAACCAATCTGGTTCAATCTGGGCGGTGCAATACAGGTGGTGCAGTCTAGAAGGTGCAAAGCAATGCAAATCGGTGCAAAGCCATGCAACGCAACGCAAGGCAACGAAAAGCCATGCAAAGCTACGCAAAGCAATGCGATGCAAGACAGTGCGAGCCGATGCATAACAATGCAACGCAGTGCAACGCAATGCAACGCAGCGCACGGCAACGCACAGCAGTGCCTTGCACTGCAGGGCAGTGCCAAACAGTGCAAAGCAGTGCAGAGCAGCGCAGTGCACAGCGATGCAGAGCGATGCAGAGCGACGCAGTGCACAGCAGTACAGCGCAGCGCGGTGCGACTGCCGCGCGATGCCGCGCGGCGACGGGCGGCGACGGGGCGGGGACGGGCGGCCGGGGCGGCAGGCAACCGAGGCCGCCAAGAGGGCACAAAAAGGCCTCCAAGGACGGCCCGAGATGGCCCCGAGGCAGCCGGAGATGCCTCAGAGGAGGAGGAGGACGAGGAGGAGAGGGAGGAGGAGGAGGAGGAGGAGGAGGAGGAGGCCCCAAGACGGCTCAAGAGGCCCCCCAAGAGGCCCCACGATGTCCTCACGACGGCACACCAAGGGGCCCTGGACGGCCCTGAGAGTCCCCAGCTCGCCGAAGAGGGCCTCCAGAAGGCACACGGGGGGCCTCTGGAGGGCCCAAGACGGCCTCGGAGAGCCCCTCGACAGCCAAAAGACGGCCCCACGACGGCCGCAAAAGACCTCCCAAACGACCACGAAGGCTCCAACACGGCCTCCGAGAGCCCCACGAGGGCCGCAACTGGCCCAAGGGACCCAAAGACTGCGACTCAGGAGCACGAGGAAGACAACGAAGACGAGAAACCCCGACACGACGAGGAAGAATGTGTCGTCGCGGCTCTCCCAAGCCTCGGGACACGAGGCGTCACAAATTATTACGACCTCCTGTGCAACCCCCGAACAATCGCCAACCAAGGTTGGGGAAACCAAAGAGTACCAATACTGCTACTCGCCAAACCTCTCCTGGAGTGCGCTCTGACCAAAAGTTCTAGGCGAATCCAGTGGTGGCGACGAGGGCCTCCCAGGAGGCCCAAGACGGGGAAGAACACGAGGGAAGGGTACTGGTATGGGTGCCTCTTCTTACCCTGAAAGGCACTGGGCCGGAACGGTGGCGGTACTCGCCGCAGGCAGCCAGATGTACCCACGTCCCGGGTGAGCGTCGTCCTCGCCGTGCTCGATGTAGGCGAAGAGTCGCCCGTCGGGCACGCTGGCTGCCCCCTCGAGGCTTGCCTCCCGCTTGGCCCACGCCCGGAAAATGTCCAGAGTGCCGGCGAGGAGCAGGTGCCCGTAGGCAGAGCTCCCGTCCTCGAGGCCCGGGCTGCTAAGGCCGGAGTCTTCGTCGAGGCCAACGGCACCAGGCCCCAGTCCCTGGCCCTCAGGGAAGCCCTTGAGCCTCTCCTTTGTGGATCCGGCGCCGAGGTACGCCCCGTGCTCTTCGAGTTTCATCTTGAGTGAGGAGATGTACTGGCGCTCCTCGGAGCCCTTTGCGGCATGGAAAGCCGAAAACTTCTGTTGGCTGGCCGCCTGATCGTACACTGCAGCGGGCTTGGAGGCGCTCTCGTCGCCACCACCCTCGCCTTGCTCCGTGTCCTCGCCCTTGAAGCCGAAGCCGAGCCGAGCCAAGCCGTACGCCTTCTCTGGCGCGGTCAGCATTGGCTCACGTCGCACGTGGGCCCTCTGCAGCGGCCCTCGCGCGGACGTGTGGAGGTCCCCCCTCCACGCACACAAGGCTTGTGGATGCGCCAGCGGTGGGCCAAATCTGGCTTGAGCCAGCTTCGCTTGAGCCAAGGTGGGTATGGATGTTGAGATGGCGATGAAAATGATATGATGATGCTAGGGGAGAGAAATCATAGGAGGAAGTGGATCGGGTAGACGGGGCTGGAAGGACAGGAGGACAGGGAAGCGTGACGCCGTGCACCAGAAACAACTAAATTTGGGCCTGAACAGCCGACACAACTGGAAGCGACGCCACGCGGAGCACAAACTTGCAATATAGTGCGCCACGCATGCCCAGGCTGGAAGCACAGGATTCGTCGCAGCACAGAGACTCCGAACAAAAATGCTCTCAGATACGCTGTGGGCATTATACTGGGCTGAACGAGCCGCATTCCTGCGTTGCTGTGCTGAAGCCTCCGCCTCCGCCTTATGCCTGAACGTCTCTATCGCCAATCCTTCCTGATCCTAGGGCTCCCAACTTCGCGCTTCGCGCTGCGCGAAGCGCGAATAACTTCGCGCTCTCGCGCCGCCCTCCCAAATGGAGAATAGGAGGACGAGGAGGAGGGGGAGAAGGAACGAGGACCGCGAAGCGCGAAGCGCGAATAACTTCGCGCCCTCGAGGGAGCCCTTGCTGATCGTGGCGAGAGATCCCCGCCCACGCCAACTCCGTTTCACGTCGCGCGCCTGTCGGCCGGCCCGGGGCGAGCAAACGCCATGGCCGTCTTCTCGTCCTTCCCTCGGAGGCCGGGGGAGAGTGGGCGGGTGAAGGGGCCCAGGGAGACACAGACAAGTCGGCGCAAAAAT